CTTTTCTTTGCAGAATACTGCACTGTGATCTGAAAGCAGTCATTTGCCTCAAAAATGATGGTATGCTACCAATGGAAATAAGGGATTGGCAGACGGCATGTCACAGCACTGGCATGTCACAACATACTATTCTGGTTCAAGCACTAGGTCAGTGTGACAGAACCACAATGGCTTCTGCAACAGCTAATCAGAAGTACCAGCTGAAATTTTTTTTTTTTTTTAAAAATCAACCGAATATGGCATTTGGGTACCCCAGCCATACACAGAAGTTACACAACATTTCCAGAAAATCCCAGCTGTGAAATATTTCTGTCTGAGGGCAACCCTATCTTTATGCCTCAAAGCCAAAAGCTATCCCATACCAAGGATGCAAACAGAAAATGTAACAGTTTCAGCAGTTCCTGTTGAACATTACACAAATTACTGTACCTGTACGAAATGCTGTGATGACCGTCATTGCTCAGTGTGTTATGATCAGGACCTTTCCAAGTAACTGAAGCCTTGGGGCGACCACAGACTTTACACCTAAGCACGATGGTCTCTCCTGTCTCACATGTTACCTCACTCAATGGTATTATAAACTCTGGGGGAACTGGAAAAAGAAAGTTAATGGCATTAGGTCACTTGAAGTCAGTCAATTTGCTTTTCTGGTCCTTACACTCTCTCTCTTCTATTAGACAAAGTAGTATGGTGCTTTCAATTTCCAAGGTGTATCTACCCTTCTACCCTTGGAGCACATCCATGGTTAAGTCACTTGCTGGGGCTTTGCAGAGCTAGTGAATTTTTCTCTGCATGAACTTGGACATAACACTATTGCTATGCCATGGTTAACCCTGAAGCCTACCACGGTGAACCAAACACCCTGTTTATGGCAAGCTGAGGAAACCCTACAATGAAAAGTATTTAAGGAGATGCTCAGCCAGGCTATCTTTATATCCACCTAAGTTTGCAAAAGGGAACACAAAACACCTCCCTCATCCACTGCGGCACTGTAGTGGTTTTTCTTTTTTCATACAGGTGAAACTCAAAAAGTTTGGTTCTGTTTATTAAGATAAAAACCCAGTCTGGCTCTGACCCCAGAGGGCCACTATCTTTGTCCTGATCAGCCTCTGCATTGGGCAGGCCCTGAATGTTCCCTTGGGTGCAAGGTTAAAAATAAAGCTGGTGGTCTCCAATTCCTGGCCTTGTTATTTTGCAAATTCAGCAAGGCCCAACTTCCATATAGTCTCCATGCAAATGCAGTAGAGTGCAAATCTTTCTGAACGTGTCAGGACCTTAGTCCATGTGTTTTATGTTGTTTTGGACTTGTGAATAAAAATGTGTTCCTTGCATCTTAAAAAATAAATACGACATACTTCATTAACTGTCTCCCTTGTCCAAAAAGGGCCAATGTGTATTTTGACAGAAAACACTCAGTTCCTGATGTAATTCATGTCAAGCAAATTTAAACAAAGTAAATCATGTTCTTATCAAATTATATTTACTGAGACTTTTAAAAATTAAAGCAACTTACCATCATAAATGTAATTGGGGTTGAGAAGCTGGAAAGGAGAAATTAAAGAATTAATGTCCTTGTAACATTATAAGAAATTAAAGAACGGCAGAAAACAAAGTACAGGGATGGTTCGAAGTTAGCTGTACCCGCAAAGATCCAAGAAACATCTGAACACCAGAATTTACGCACCACTATGCTCTTTCTGCACTAACCTTATGCTGTATCATGCTTGCAGGCTCAAAGATTCTATCTTCCTGTTTTCACATTTGGCAAACACTGTCCATTAAAATCACTGTTGCCTCCAATTTCTTCATGTGAAATTCTGACAGCAGTTACTTTTAAAGAAATCCCAACACAGCTGCTTTTGGAAACTACTAGCTCTTTGTAACATTTACCTTTACAGAAACCTTGTTGGCAAGTCCTTCTCGGGATTTGCGGTAACCATTTTCTAGCTTGCCTTCCCTTTTGCCGTCTTTATCTTTTTTCTCAGATTTCTTCCTTAAACGGAGTGCTGTGTGCCAAGACGTTGACTTCCTGAATACAGAACATTAAACTTTGATCAATTTTTTTCAACTCCAGGTTACATGTTATAGTCTCTACTTTCAAATGGCATGGGAAAAGTATGTCAAAATGTTATTTCATTGTATTAAAGTATACTGAAATGAAATAAATTAAGTATTCCACAAGGCATGGTACCCTTGGTTAAAACTGTAAGCAAGCTAGTAAGATTAGTCTATAGTTCAGTATTTCTTTCAATCATTGCTGGAATGGTAAACTTTCTATATGAAAATACAAACTGTCAATCAAACTGAGCAATGATCAGTATGAAATCTGTATCAAATACAGCCTATAGAAGCTTTACATAAAGCTTTACTGCTAAGAACTTTGCTATAATTTCTCCCATTGCAGATTTGAGAGAGATCTTCCTAGCATAACCAGATATTTTCAATAGGTTTGTGGCTCAAAGAGGAAATCTAGGAACTCTGAAATCTGATTTCACTTGAAACAAACATTTATGACTGTTTTCCTAAACAAAGGTGCCTAGCCTGACAACTCATTCCATTAAATAAACCAGGAACTATTGTTGCTCTTAAATCAGGTATTATTTCATCACCTTTTCCCCGAAGTGCACTACTACAGCTTTTTAAATAAGGAATATGTGCTCGCTCTTTCTTATATTTGGAAGTTTGCTAAGGGACCTCTCAAGTCCTCATTCTGCTTGATGTTCATTTATTTCTCAAAGATCACATCAACTTTTGGTTTAAAAGGTTCAAAGCCTTGTCTAAATTGGAAATTTTTCTTCTTTCTTCCCCTTCTACACACACCCAGGCACTCACTTGATGGTTCCATCAGGGTTGTCAATGATGACTGCACTGGTATGCCCCAAGACATAGCCGGGAATCCAGCCCTCGGCTGCGGGGCACTGATCAGTGGCGGCTCTGAACACCAAAAACATGTTCTGTTGGTTGCTGGCTAGAATCTGCACGACCTCTCCTTGGTAGACATTTATCTCATCCTCCTTCACTGCCGTGTAATCGTGTGTCACCAGCATGGTGGAGATATTGCTACTGCTGCTACTTTCACTCTGCAAGTGTCAGTTGAAAGCACAAAGAGGGGGAGAAAAAAGAAGCAAGTTTAAAGTTCATGAAGATGACAAGCTCTTCTTGGCCTGCTACATTACAGCCATTACCTGCATGATCCACATAAGCTGTAGTCAAAGAAGAGAGCCACTATTTCTCTTTGAGAGCTGCCTGTGTCTATTTATCTTGTGCGAATTAGTTTGATCTTTGAGTACCTTCATGTACAGCTGCTGCAGAAATGTATTCCCGTTACTTTTACTCAAGATTACTTCCTTTAACTAAGAGTCAGTTTATACATAAATCTCAACTGGTCTTCCTTTCAAGCTCAGACATCGAACCTTGCATCTTTATCAGGCAACAAAACTACAGTACAGCACATAGGACAGTTTTTCATGGTGTCACAGGTGCAGTTTCAAAATCATAACAGGTCAAGACTTTACCTCATAAAGACCGGAAATTCCAACAACAAAAAATCTATATAGTCTTTCTTAGTACTATTTGTCAGATCTCAGACACCAGCCTTCTGCACACAAAACATGACAAAGTACAGAAGAACAAAATAGGCTTTTGACAGTGTCTCTCAAAACCTCAAGGCTTGTCTCTGGTTGAATCTCTATGATCAGGTTTGTTCCTTTAAACACATAGGATGAGGTAAATTACTGACATAAGAAGTTATTCATTTCTTGGGCAAAATAGGCCCACTGAACTATCAGAATAAAGCTAGAAATCTCACTCCTAACTGACTAATGACTATGATAGTTGAGTGTTGTTAGCTGTTTATCATACACTTTCATCTAGTGTTCATGAATGTTGCTTGTTTCCTCACTGAGCATTTGCAGAAAGCTAATTATGGCTGATCAGGTGTACATTAAAAGTCATGCTACTTTTCCAAACAAAAAGCCTTCTCCTGGACATGAATCCACTAGAAATTATTATTTTTTAAAAGTAAGACTAATTTTGTCCATTTGCATGCATTTCTCATATGAGGTTTAATACATGGAAGTGTGAAATCTATTTAAGACTATGCAACCTATTCCCTGAAATAAGTTATTTCCTTCTTGAAAGAAGTTAAAACCAAAGTGGATGGCCTATTAATGATGTGGTGTGAGGCGTGTATGTGTGTGCGCCTATCTTTTATCTCTGTTGTTACTTCAAACTTTTTCCGTTCACTACCAGTGAGGGCTCACTATTGCTTAGTAGTAGCTGAGTTGAAGAGGTGAAATCAGTACCCAGCTGTAGCTGGAGACTACCATGACTTATATAGCATAAGCACAGGTTAGCACCACGTATGTGCTAGCAGTGAGTGGAAAGCTTGGCACATAGGATTAAAACAACGTCAGTGTTTTTTTCTTCAAAACGGTCAAATATTTCTCCCCTCAGTGTTGAGGAAATACAGCAGCGGTCAGCGGACAGCATAGTACAATGGCAGCGCGGAAAACCACGTTCTCTTCCAACCTGGTAATGGCCTTGATCAAGTCACTCCATCTCTTGGTGCCTGTATTCCCCATGAGTATTTTGGCTGGCTAGTCTACTGAGAAACCAAGACATCTGGAAAGGAATAGTCTCAGATTACTCATTCATAGCATGTGCTATGCATTCATTGATGCTTGGGTTTCCAGTGAGTCTGTATGTTTTATTCTAGCTGGACTACTTTATTCAACTGGGTGAGTAAAGTCCATTCTGTCTTTTTTCCCTATTAGGATGATGAAGCAAGTGCTACCACAGAGAAAGATCTCATCCTGGATTGCACCTCTACTGTAGGATATTTATGTTTAATTCCAGATGCTGTATTTCCAGTGGCAGAACTCATTTTGCCTGGCTTAGAAGACTGTCTGCGTGGTCTTTTTTACTAGCAAGCCCCTTCCAAGATTCAGGCAAACTGGGAATAGTAGAACCAAAAAACCAGTCTCATTTTCAGTCATTATTTAAGTTAAGACTACAACTTGCTAGATTATTTTAGCTAGATGAAAAACAACTCTATTCAGAGAAAGCTGTTTTTTTAAATTCCTGTTAGACTTACAGGAGGAGAGGAAGCGAAGGCTGAAGTAGCAAAACTAACCTAAGCCCCAAACCTTGCCCCACACACTATTCCTGAACATTCTGTTTCTTAGCATGCAGCAGAATTTGTATAACTGCAGCAATGACCCTCCTGTAACATAACATTTGTTTTTAAGTTAGGTCTTGAAGGATCATATTAAACTCTGAATATTTCTTATTTTCAATAAGCACAGATAAATCTGTCAAATAAACAAGTGTCTGGTAACTACTAAGTGACAAATGTTCTTGTGAACATGTTTATATCAGAACTTATTCTCACCATAGAAAGACAGCCTTTTCTTCTGCCTTGCAAGGAAGTAATGATTCTTGCACAATTAATGATTTTCTACATTGACCAGCGATCACTGACCTCAATTATGGGATTAAAGGAGGATTTACAATCAAAATATAAAAAATTCCTCCCATATTCCTGAAATACTAGCAAAAGCAATTCCTTTTTCTTCTTCTTAGAAGTAACTTTTCCATAAGTAACCAACTGTAACCATATATGCATGTAAATGCAGACACACAAATGGTTCAATCAAAATAAACCTTCGCAACCTATTCTCTCTAGCCTGTTGAATGTGGTGTGAAATCCTGCTGA